TGTCACCCCCTAGAAGGCCAGGCTCACCCCCCTCCCCAGGCACCTGTCACAGGTAAAGCTGGAGAGGAAGAAAAGCAGGATGTAGATGAAAAAGGTGTAGGCAACAGCCACAATGGTGCCCAGAGGAATCGCCCGGCTGGGGTCCTTCAGCTCCCCTGGAGGGAGGGGAGCAGAGAGAGAGAGGTCAGCCTTCCACCATCCCCTACATCCCTGAGCCCTCAGCACCCAGGTAGGGACACAGGGTGGCAGCCCCACATCCCCAAGATGTAGTAGGCATGGACTCTCACCAGACATGTTGGCCCCAGCCATGATGCCCGTGCAGCCATTAAAAAGGACGGCAAAGACGCTGGCAAAGTTCATCATGGCCCCTGTGGTGTAGTCCTTTGCGTAGCCAGCTGAGGAGGGATTGTTCCCAGAGAAGAGAGGGTGTCGACATCCCTCCTAGTGATCCAGGTATCTTGGCCCTGCCACCTGCTCCTCATATTCCACAACCCTCCTATTTTCCCCACCAAACTCACCAAGACCCCATCCCTGACCCATCACTGGGCCTGGCTCACCTCCTCATTACCTCCTTCTCCTGCATGCTCTGTTCCTCCCTCCAGCTCTTTCTTGAGACACCTTCCCTCCCACACCTACCTGAATTCCCCAGCCTACCTTAGGCCACCTCCAGCTCCACCTACTCCAGCCCTCTCCAGCCTATACTCCCATCTGGCTCCTCTCAACTCTGTGATTCTTGTCTACTTTAATCACATTCAGTCTATTATGCTATTTAATTGTTTCCTGAATGTACATCTTATCTCTCCAAATAAACAAGTTCCTCTAAGGCAGTGACTGTCTTGCAGTCAACTCTAGTGCCTCGCTGGGCCAAACACAGCAGCCAACACACACTGAACAGATCTTAATTAAATTGCTCTGCTCTGAGGTCCAGATTTCCTGCCCCCAATTCTCTCTGATATCTGTTCTCATGCAGGGACTCCAAAGACCCAGCCCCCACACATGCCTGCCCCTTGCCCTGAGAACCCCAGCACCCATGAGCCCAGCTCACCGCCCAAGTTGGCCTTCAGGGTGCTGCTATTGAAGCCGGTGAAGTGGCCAACCTGGGGTGGCAGGGAGGAGCCATTGGGGCCAGGCCGGGGGGTCAAGTGGATGACCCTGGGCCCCACAGCCACAAAGCTGACCAGCACCGAGGCCAGGGAACCAGAGACCAGCAGGAATGTGAGGAAGGAGGCACGGGCATAGAGGCCAGCCCCTAGCGTGCAGACCCCGCCCACCAGGCCCAGCAGCAGGGAGCCATAAAGCAAACTCCAGCCATAGCCCTGAGGCAGGACTGGGAGCCCACTGGGCCTTGTGGCATCTGTAGAAGAAGGAACAGAGTTAGAAGACCAGGCCCCCAGGAGGGACCCCAACCAAGACACAAAGCAGGAGTAGACCCCTGCTTTGGCCCACCTATCCTCAGAATAGCCATCTTCCCTATTCCCTCACTAAACTGAACACCAGCATCCTAGCCCTGCTGATGGGTACCGCCAATCTTGCTATTGATTTTAGGGCTATTAGCCTGGCCTCCAAGACTAGATGGTAAGCTCCCCGTGGGCCAGGACAGTCTCTCAGACATGTACACATAGCTGGGCACACAGTAAAAGCTTTAGAAAGACAAGCTAATGGGGCACTTTGCCCCTCTCCTGGAGAGGGCCTCTCTTCCTTATGATTCCAGCATCCCAGACCCTGCAAACCCAGAGCTTCCATAACCAGAGTGGGGAGAACAGACCAGCCCCGAAGACATCAAGTATGGCCTCCACCAGTCCCAACAGGGAAACAGCACAGCCACAGACATTAGCCAGGTAGAACATAAGGCCAATGCTGCCTCCAACCTCAGGCCCCAGGGTCCGGCTGATCATGACTGAAAGTAGAAGCAGGAAGTGAGTGTTAAGGGAAAAGAAGCATGAGGAAGGGTCCTGTCACAAAGCACTCTACAGCTGACCCTCCAGGTCTGGTCTCCCAGCATGTGTTCCCAGGGGCGATGTGTCTCAGCGCAGCCACTCCCAAACCATGTGGCTGCACACAGTCCCTGATGCTCTCGAGTTCCAGTTTCCTCCTCTGTAAAATTAATGTATCCAATTGACAAGACTGTTAGGAGAACCAAAATGACAGCTGGAAGACAGCTGGTGGACTAAAAGTGGCACTAACATGTAAAGCCATGTTGGTCACCTTCCCCATATCAGCCTGCCTTCAGAACATTCATAAGAACCTGCCTCCCTCTTGTCCTTTCCCCAGGGAATGGAGGGAGAGGTCCCTTCCTCCTCCCTACAAGATGGAAGAGCCCAGACTCCAATCAATCAATGTTGGAGGATACAATAGGCTCCACCGCCCCGAACAGCTCCATTGGTGGCAATGGCACAGACAGACAGGACGGTGAGCGCCAGGATGAAGTAGGCAACCAGAAGCATGGCCAAAGTCTGCAGCAGCCCAGCATGGCCCACCACGAAACCTGGGACAGGAATGTCAAAGCAGGTCAAAGGGTGGCTCACACCCCCTACCCTACCCCTTACCCACTGGTCCTCAGTAACCTCCAGCCCTTCCACAAATTCATCCCAGACCCCCTGCTCCCCACTGCACCCCCTAGTAAGCCCCTAACCACATCCACTCACCAATCCTCAGGAAGACAACTATACTGAACATGGACAGGACTGTGGGCACCACCACACCCAGGAAGGTGGAGAGCTTCCGGGCAGATTCACCTCCAGGTCCTCCGGCCCCATTGGCTGGGAAGGCAACCCCCTCTTCCTCCAGGAGCCGGTAGGCCAGCAAAGGTGAGTTTTCACTGGCCATGGCTGACAGCAGGTAGAGGAAGCCAGCAGTGGATTACAAGGCCTGCACAAGAGAGTGTGCTGAATGGAAAGCTGCCCCACTGAGCCCCCCCCCCAAAAACACCTCTAAGCAAACACCCAGAAGCCTCACAACCAAAGGGAGAGCTGCAAGGAAACACACATACACAAAGTGTCAGTGGGGGGCTGACTGGCCCTGGCCACTGCCCCAACAATGGCAGAATTTGAGTATCAAGTCCCCGTTCAGCTCCTGAGGGCCACCTGTTCTCTCAAATCCCTGAGACTAGGGGTGGCAGTGGTTCTGGAAAGGAGCAAAGATCCTCCTCCTTCTTAACTAGCAGTAGAAGAGGAAGCAAATCCCTCAAAAGGGAAGTGAGTTATGGCAGGGAGCCCTCCTCACCCCCTCCTCTCCGCAGTACTGAGACGCCCCCTGTCCCATACAGTAGCCTTACCTACGGGCAATAAGAAACTTCCAAATCACCCCACACCCCACCCTCTCCCTCAACCCTTCTCAAACCAGCTCCTCTTCTCCTTAGCCTCACCAGAGGTCTCCCACCACATGTGCACCCTCCAAATACACTCTTGGAGTACCAAAACAGGAACACAGAAGGCAACACAAGGTGAATCCTCCTCCCCCCACCGGTTCCTGCCCACTTTCTCCCTGGGCGGGTAGGAGGGGGCCGCGATCCCCATCTCCCGGGCTAGGAGCACCCCCACAGCCCGGGTGCGGCGGAGCGTTCACTCACCCACCCGGAGGACCTGCTTGGGGGTGATCCCCGAGAGCCAGAGGGGTCCGCTACGGGCGGAGGGGGCACGGGTACCGGAAAAGACAGCTGCGGCTACCGGGATGCCAGGCCGGGAGCCTGCCCCACCAGCCCCCGCGCCCATTGGTCCCTGGGCCCGGCCCCGCCCCGTGGGCGCGTCCGGAGAGGCCCCGCCCTCTAGGCACTAGTGGCCAGTGTGTCTCCCGCTCCACGTGCGCCCGAGATGTTACCTGGGTTGCCTCTCAGGCGCGCGTCTCCTTCTGGGTGTGGACCTCGGCTCCTATAGCGCCCGTTACCCTGGTGCAAACGGGTGCCCGTCGCCCAGGAGGGACCCCACTCCGAGCTCAGAGGCGTTCGGAAGAGCCACCGCAGAAAGGGGCGTGTGTTACGGCGGCTGGCAGCCTGGCCTAGGTGCGTCGTGGGGAACATCGGTCCACGCCTTCGGGGCTCCTACTCCTGCCTCTCGAATCCTCGGAATGTCCGCCGGGTTCTGACCTCACTACTCATACCTGGTGCTCTCCCCTCGCTCCCCATCCAGCCCACTGGCTGCGCTTTTTGCTTCCGCCACTAGAGGGAGCCATTGGCCGCTCATCCAGATGAGCCCTGGAGGCTCAGGCCACAGTCGGTCTTCTGCCTGCAGCCGGTTTGCGTGCCTGCTTTCATCGGGGTATGATGCTCTCCCCTCCAGGAGAAATTAGAGAATTTGTGAACCTCCGGGAGTTAGAATTCCCTTTTCATTCTCTTCAGACGCCAGCAACATCAGCACCACCTGGCAACGTTTCTCATCTGTAAACTGGGGATTAACTAGAATCTCCTCGCTTAAAGTTACTCTGAGAGTTAACCGAACTAATAGGTACTTGAGAACAATGCAGAAATGATCTAAGTTATTATTTGTATGCAGTACTAGATTAAATATGCATAACTACTCAGAGGTAGGTAGGTACTGCTATTATTTCCATTTTTCATCAGGAAATCGAAGTTTAGAGAGCTTCAGTAATAAATTCCTAACTTTCCTTTATGGTTACACTGCCATTTGAGCCTCAAGAAATGAACACATTTCCTCCCTCTGGTCTTTGGCTGTAAATTATCTGCAACATTTACTTAGGAGAGGAAGGGGCTCAAACCAGCTGAAATGTGGCTTTGCCAGGGAGAGGCCTCATGAGCAGTTAAACAGGGGCATTTTCAGTGATTATCTCTGCTGCCCAAAGAGTGTGGCTTCTGGGATCTCTCCAACACCCTGGCCACAATTTTTGTGATTTCAATATCCACATTGATGAGACTTCCAACACCCTAGCCTGGCATTTACTTAAATTCCACTTCCTCATAGATCTTACCCTCCACCCTACCAAGTGGTCATGCCTAGACTTTGTCCTTACCAATAACTGAAGGCCCTCCTTTTTTAAAATTTTTATTCTAAATCAGAACATGACAATCAGCATACAGACTCTGTCCACCTGTCAATAAGTTCATTATCTGCAGTTTCTGGGAACTCTAGAGGCCTAAGGAGTTGCCCCAAACAACCCAGACATTTCAGAATGAGGACTCAACAACCCATTGAAAGTATCCCCTCCTACCTACTGCTTGGATTTCTGCACTTCCCAATTTGGCAAGAATTACAACGTCAAGCGCCCCCACTCAAGGTCCTCCTGGCCCAAGTGCTCATGGACTACAATTTCAATTAGCTCTATGTGGAAATGTTCAGTATTATCATTGAAATAATCCATGGCTTGAAAATTGTCAAGCCCAGGACCCCCAGCCCAGCTTCCACCCCAAGGCCTCTCACCAGCTGACCACAGGCCTCAGGTGTTTCCCCGAAATTAGGCCTAATTTCAGAAACTTTTGAGTCTCCTGTGCTCCCAGAGCAGGCCCCCACAGGCCCTCCCTCTTTCTGTTCATCGCATCTAGTAGGCCTGTTGAGAAAAAATTAATCAGATGTTTTTTGAAAGGATAATGAAGACTTTATTCAGGACTATTACAATAGGTGTCAAGACTATCACAATAGTGGAGAGAGGTGGAGCTCAAACCCCAAATATAGCAAAGACAGCTGGGGATTTATACCTAACAAGCAGAATGACGGTGCCAGTGAATGGAAAATCACTAAGAGGAAATACCAAAACTAAGGGGATTCTAGCTAAACAGACTTAATAGGATTCTTGCTGAAGACAGGCCAGCATGACCAGATATCAAGATATCAGATATCTCTCTAAATTGGGCTAGGCAGGCCCAGCAAGGAGGGGGGCCAAGGTTAAGACCTAATCCAGAAGAGGGTTCAGAGGAACCTAACTGAAGTTTGGTCAAAGATAGGGTCTTTGTCATGCCCTGACCCCAACAATCGTCTACTTCACTGAGCCCTCAATCCAATGAGCCTGCCCTCTTTCCACTGTCCCCCATTCAGTTCCCTTTTTACCTAGCTTAAAGGTGACAGTCAATGAAAAGCACTCCCTTGCCCCTCTCTCACTTAGTTACACCTCCTGGCAAAACCACAGCCCTGGTAAACACAATTTTCTATCTACCCTGAGCCTGCCCAAGCAGCTGAATGGAGCTGGTGAAAACACCCAACTATGGCAGCCAGTCTCATTTCAAATGCATGACCATGAACCATTAAGTGGGACCTTAATGCTGCACTGCACTGAGATGAGATCTCTCTAGTCCATTTACTCTCCCACACTCCCAGATGACTTAAATCTTCACCTCTCTCCTCAAACCTCCAGTGCTTCCCCCACTGATCTCACTCTCAGTTGCTTCCCAATTGAGAAAATAGAAGCCATCAGCTAAGATTCTAAGAGCTCCTATCTACCCATCATACTTTGCCCTGCCCCCCCTCCTGTTACTAGGGAAGAACTGATCATGCTGCCAGTTAAGGTTAATGTGCTACTAGGTCCCATGTCATCATCTTGTTTTCCCTTTCCTTTGAATTGAATCATTCCCATTAGTATATTTGTAAATATTTAAAATATTAGTAAAATTTAAAAAGCATTAGTATTGTGCTTTTTAAATTTTTTTATTTAATTTTAAAAAAATACGTTCCTATTGCCCTGGCTGGTTTTGCTTAGCAGTTAGAGCATCAGCCTGCAGTTCAGAGAGACCCGGGTTCAGCTCCCGCTAAGGATATGTACCTCGGTTGTAGTTTGTCCCCAGCCCTGGATGGGTCGTGCGGGTGGCAGCCTTTCACATGGATGTTTCTTTCTCTCTCTCTCTCTCTCCCTCCCACTCTATCTGAACAAAAAATGGAAAAAAAAATGTCCTCCGGTGAGAATTAAGAAAAAAAAAAGATTTTCTTTCTTTTTTTTTTTTTTTATCCTCACCCGAGGACATTTTTCCATTTTTTGTACAGATAGAGTGGGAGGGAGAGAGAGGAAGAGAGAGAGAGAGGGAAACATTGATGTGAAAGGGACACATAGAGTGGCTGCCACCCGCACGACCAACCAGGGCCAGGGACAAACTGCAACCGAAGTATGTGCCCTTAGCGGGAACCGAACCCGGGTCTCTCCGGACTGCAGGTGGACGCTCTAACCGCTGAGCCAAATCGGCCAGGGCAAAAAAAGATTTTCTTGAATCTACTCTACCCTCCCCCCATCATCACTCTATTTCTTTGTTGTTTCTTCTGTATAGCAAAACTTCTTATACAAGCTGTCTATACTAGTCATTTCTAATCCCCTCCTCTGTTTCTTCTTAAACCCACTACACTTAGGCTTTTGTCCCTCAGCAAAAGAGAAACTCAAGTCACTAGTGACTTCCACTTGGTCAATCCATGGGTAACTGCTCAGTCCTCATTTTACTAAACTACCAGCATCATTTGACATACTTCATCACTATCTTCTCCTTCAACATTTTCCTCATGTGGCTGCTAGAACAACATACTCTCATAGATTTCCTCCTGCTCACTCCCTTTTGCTGGTTCTTCCTCATCTCTCCTCTTTTTTTCTTTTAAGGTTTTTAAATTGAGTTTTAGAGAAACGTTGATGTGAAAGCACAACATCGATGGGCTGCCTCCTGCAGGTCTCCCACCCAGGATCGTGCTTGCAACCCTGGCATGTGCCTTGACCAGGAATCTAACAGGTAACCTTTCAGTGTGCAGGTTGATGCCCTACCAACTGAGCCACACAGGTCAGGGCTCATCTCTACTCTAAATTCAGGAACACCCCTAGGTGTTGTTGGAGGAACAGCCAAGAAGTCACTGTGGACTGGAGGCTCTGTTGATGACTGGAAGTTCAATCCTCAGACTTCTTTTCACTGTTGACACCCAGTCTCTTGATGATCTCATAGTTTTATTATTATTTTTTTTACTTTTATTTTTTTGGTACGTGCCCCTTGCGGGAACCAAACCCGGGACTCTCTGGTCCGCAGGCCAATGTTCCAACCGCTGAGCCAAACCGGCCAGGGCTGATCTCATAGTTTTATTTTATTTTATTTTTTTTTAATTTTTGTTGTTGTTGTTGTTGTTGTTTGGTTTTTTGTTTTTTTTTAATCCTCACCCGAGGATATTTTTCCATTTTTTGTACAGATAGAATGGGAGGGAGAGAGAGAGAAACATCGACGTGAAGGGACACATCGAGTGGCTGCCACCCGCACGACCAACCAGGGCCGGGGACAAACTGCAACCGAAGTACATGCCTTAGCGGGAACCGAACCCGGGTCTCTCTGGACCGCAGGCCGACGCTCTAACCGCTGAGCCAAACTGGCCAGGGCTGATCTCATAGTTTTAAATATCATCTCTGTAATAGTGTCCCCAAGGGTGTATCTCCAGCCCAGATGTCTACTCTACATTTCAGACTATACATCCAACTACACACTAACTTCTCTGCTTGGCCATCAAACAGGCAACTCAAATTTCTAATGTCCAAAATCAAACACCTAAATTTACCCCCACAACCTACTCCTCTTGTGATTCTCTCGCCTTTCCAGTTGCTTGGGTCAAAAACCTTGGGATTATGCTTGAATACTGTTTCTCACACCCAACATTCAACTCATCAGCAATTCCGTTGTCTTTTTTCTTTCATTCTCACCTGAGGACATTTTTGCATTTATCTTCAGATAGCGCGGGAGGGAGAAAGGGAGGAAGAGAGAGAGAGAAACATTGATGTGAGAGAAACACATCAAGTGGTTGCCACCCACATGACCCCAACTGGGCCGGAGACAAACTGCAACCCAGGTACGTGCCCTTAGTGGAAACCAAACCAGGGACTCTCTGGTCCACGGGCCAACACTCTAACCACTGAGCCAAAACAGCCAGGGCTCTATTTTTAAAATGTAACCAGTATCAAACCACATCTTACCACTGTATTTCTAAGCCATAATCTCTTACCTGCATTATTGCACTAACCCCCCTAACTGGTTTTCACTCTACCCTTGCCCCTGCAGTCTATTCACAACAGAGCAGTTAGAGTGATGCTATTACAGCAAATATTAGCCATGACACTTCTCTTTTCAAAACTCTCCAATGCCAAAAACTGAACCAGGAAGAGATAGAAAAACCTGAACACACCAGTAACAACTAAGGATATTGAGCAAGTAATCAAGAAACTCACAGCAAACAAGAACCCAGGCCTAGATGGTTTCACAGAGGAGTTTTACCGAACATTCAAAGAACTAACAGCCATTCTCCTCAAACTGTTCCAAAAAATCCAAGAAAGAAGACTTCCAAACTCGTATTATGAGACCAGCATAATTCTAATTCCAAAACTAGATAAAGACACTGCAGAGAAAGAAAACTACAGGCCAATATCCCTGATGAACATATATGCCAAAATCCGTAACAAAATATTAGTAAGTCGGATCCAGCAATACATTAAAAAAATTATTCACCATGACCAACTGAGATTCATCCCAGGGATGCAAGGCTGGTACAATATTCACAAATCAATAAATGTGATACACCACATAAACAAAATGACAGACAAAAACCATATGATCATATCAATAGATGCTGAAAAAACATTCAATAAAATCCAGTACCCATTTCTGATAAAAACGCTCAGCAATATGGGAATAGAGGGTTCATATCTCAACATAATGAAGGCCATATATGAAAAACCTACAGCCAACATCATACTGAATGGGCAAAAACTAAAAGCATTTCCCTTAAGAACAGGAACAAGACAGGAATGTCCACTTTCGCCACTCTCTTTTTTTTTTTTTTTATCCTCACCCGAGAACATTTTTCCATTTTTTGTTCAGATAGAGTGGGAGGGAGAGAGAGAGAGAGAAACATCGATGTGAAGGGACACATCGAGTGGCTGCCACCCGCACGACCAACCAGGGCCAGGGACAAACTGCAACCGAAGTACGTGCCCTTAGCGGGAACCGAACCCGGGTCTCTCTGTACCGCAGGCTGACGCTCCAACCGCTGAGCCAAACCGGCCAGGGCTCGCCACTCTTATTTAACTTAATTTAGTATTGGAAGTCTTAACCACAGCACTTAAACACGAAGGAAAAAAATAAAAGGGATCCAAGTTGGAAAGGAAGAAGTGAAACTTAT